CTGTGTGAGGACAATTAATGATTTGTTAATCAATGTGTGCCTGAGTGGTACCAAAGAAAGTGTAACCAAAAGGTCACAAATACACTTTCTCCAGGAAGTCTTATCTATGTTCATGTTTTCAATGGCCATTTATTCAGGACTGTGGAAAATTTCTAGATTAAAAAATATTGGGCTGGGGCTATAGCTCAGTGGTAGAGCACTCATCGAATACTGTAAGTCCTTGGATTCAATCCCCAGCACTGCAAAATATAAAAATAAAAATATTGAGTGAGGCTTGCCTAAAAAAATACATATATATCTCATGATGGTATTTGGCAATGCCTTAGAAGAAAAAAGAAATCCCTCTTGTTCAAGTGCATAATTTCTGAAATATCAGGACGGTCGTTAATCCTCAGTAAGAGAAGGAAGAGAAGCAGGAGAACATTTATGTTCTGGCAACTGCAAGAACTTCGGAAGCAGAGGCTCCAAGGAATGAAGACAAATGGGGAAAAGGTCCTATTTAGATCTGAATTTGTAGCTCCTGTTTTCCTGCACAGCGCCGTGTTTCTGGTTTGGTTCTGAGTGGGTTATGCAAGAGAAGTAAAAAGCAGTGGCTCAGTGAGAATCTAGCTGCAAGGCAAAGCCTGTTTTGTCCAGAATGACAACGTACACACGTAAGCTCCAGCCCCAGACCCTTCCTCCACCATTCCCTTCATCTTTCAGTCCTCGGGTGCAGTTTTATGTTGCCAAGGAAACTTTACAGCACACCATCTCTTACTATGTTCCTTTATTTTATGTCTTTTCTTCTGTGCACTTGTTGCGTTTTGTAATTAAACACTTTATTAGTTTGCTTTAAAATTAAAGAAAGAAATAAATAAACCTTGTCTTCTCTGCTAGACTCAATCTGCCAGAGTAGTTCTGCATGAATCACAGGGAACCTGCTATGCGCCAGGTACTGTAGTAGGATCTACACATGGCACATACCTGGCACATAGCAGGTGCTCGATAAACAGTCGTTAGGTGGTTGGACTGTCATGTTGCCATTCTGGGGTGCCCGGATGAGATGTGGGCTAAGACTATGAATTTGAGTGTCATCCGCATTTAGATACTACTTAAATATAAAAGAGTGGATGATACTGCTCATGCCCAAGAGAAAGGGCAGGGAGCTTCTGGAATAGAGTCTTGGACATCTCCAACATTTGTCTGGTATAAAGCAGGAGATGTTGGCAAAGAATGCAAAAAAGGAATGCACAGAGACACACAACAAAAAAAAAAATGATGATGATCATGGTGATGATGATGATGATGATGATGATGATAAAAAGGACTCCAGAAGCATCTGTTGTCGGGATAGCCAAGGAACAAGGCTCTCTTAAGAAGGAGAGAGTGGTCAGTTGTGGCAAACACAGGTAAAAAGTCAATCAAGGTGAAGACAGAGATACTGTCATTGAGTTTGGCTTCAGAGTCATTTGTGACCTTGATATGAAGGGTTTGCAGGAAGGAGTGGGCTTTTCGGGTAAAGTGGGGAAAGCAGTTGACCATCTGAAAGCAGCTTGTGCAGGATTTTTCCAAAAAACTTTGCTAGGGAGAGCTGAAAAATGGAGATGGTAGGGGCTGGGGATGTGGCTCAAGCTGTAGCGCACTCCCCTGCCATGCGCACGGCCCGGGTTCGATCCTCAGCACCACATACAAAGATGTTGTGTCCGCCGAAAATTAAAAAATAAATTTAAAATTCTCTCTCTCTCTCTCTTTAAAAAAAATGGAGATGGTAGGAATGAGGCACAAGGGAATTCTTGCAGTTGCTTTTTATTTGATGATGGAAACTATTCAGCAGAAAGACTAATTATTTTTTTTTTTTTAAAGAGAAAGGATGGGAAGAACAGATTCCTTGATGAGTCCCCAGAAAGGAATCAGTGCTGGTCTTATATTATTCTCCCTTGACCTGCTCCTATGTAGCCAGCTTAAGTACAAGATAATTAAAAACTGACTAGCAGCCAGGCATAGTGGCGCAAGCCTGTAATCCCTGGGGCTCAGGAGACTTAGACAGGAGGATTCCAAGTTCAAAGGCAGCCTCAGCAACTTAGCAGAGCCCTAAGCAAGTTAGCAAGACCCTGTCTCCAAATAAAAAATAAAAAGGGCTAGAGATGCGGAGATGTGAGTCAGAGGTTAAGCACCTCTGCGTTGAATCCCTGGTGCAGCAGCAATAACAAGTGACTAGCAGTGCCACACAGTGAACTACACAGCAGCCCAGGAAATATCTTACAAGAAAAAGCACTCCGGACAGAACTTCAAGAAACCCCTTCTAGGCCGGGTGTGGACATCCCTATACAGTGAGCCATCCTCAGTAACTTAGGCTGTAAGCAACTTAGCAGGACCCTGACTCAAATTAAAATAATAATAATAATAATTATTATTATTATTATTATTAAAAGGGCAGGGAATGTGGCTCAGTGGTTAAGTCCTCTGGTACCAAAAAAAGAAAAAGAAAGAAAGAAAGAAACCACATTTTCTTGGCTCCTCTAGGGCTGAAAATTATTGGTATTTTGGTTGAGATACTCTTGCTTGCTTTGTAGGGGGTCTATCCTACACATTGCAGGATTTAGTAGAATCCCTAGGCTCTAACCACTAGATACTTGTAATACCCAGGTGACAACTAAAAACTAGACATTGCTAAATGTTCTCAGGAACAGAGGCGGTAAGCAATATCACCCCAATTGAGAATGGCTGTTATTCAAACCTAAGAAAGTTTAATAAGAAAACCAGCTGATTTTAACAGCTGTGCAAATGTTGATAAATATTGCTATTTTCATTGCCTTATGCTATTGTGGAAAATTATTCATAAACCCGGCATGAAAACATATTGTGCCGTACATATATATTCAACCTTTCAACTTCTCAAGAAATTCTGTAATATAACTTTTAACATTTTAAGTAGAAAAGATCATGAAAGAAAAAATAAATGTGTGTGTGAGCAAGTGAACTTCACGGATGAAGGCAGGAAAGGAAAAGTCACGCGTATTTATTTGATATGCCCTACATTTTACATATTGTAAGCCTCATTTGAACCCTCAAGAGTAAATATAGAAAGAAAACAAATGAGACACTGAAAGAAGAAAGATGCATGGTATCATCAGCTAACATTTTGATGAATATATTTCTGTGCATTCATTCATTTTCCTATATACTAACCTCAGAAGAGATAGGATCTGGACAGTGCAGAGAGGTGTTGCTTGTGTTTAATGAGAGCATATTTTGAAGCCAGTTGAAGGGCTTAGGTTAGGAAAAAAGGAAAATGAGATGATCCACAGATTGGGATTTTGAGAAGGTAAAAAGGAATGGATTTTAAGTACAGAGGAGGTATCCTCTTTAGATGAGAAGCATTGAGAGAAGGGAATGCAGGCACATGAACATATGAATCTTATTATAAAATCTATTGTATCTATATGTATCATATTAACAGTGCTGCATCCACCTGTAGGTATTGTATCCACACGAAGGTGTCCATATATGACTCCATCTACACATAGTATCCTCCTGGGTCTGCAAACATAAGTATCTTAGTGTGTCTACATATTTGCTACGGATCCTGCCTATTGTAACCATTTCCCCTCGACATCATTTTCATGCTATTCTTATACATGCCACAGGTTCAATTTTTAAAGCTACCCTCTCAGGTTGGACACACTGTCCCTTTTACCACTTTTCACCACCACCAAAGCCATGACTTCGAATCTCGATGGTGCAATGTCTATAGACACTTGGGATTATTTCCTGAGCAGAGATGCATGCAAGTGCAATTGTCCAGCCAAAGGGTTCGTAAAATCGAGTGGTTAAAAAAAAAAAAAAAATCGCCTTTGCAAACCTCCCAACCCTCTCAGGTCTGCGCCCTTCACCTGAGGAGGAGTCGGGGAAGCAGAGGTTAAATATTTGGCACAAGGTCAACAATAATTAAAAGTGGCTGGATTCAAAAGCCGCGCGGCCTCATCCGGCTTCGGCAGGGGTGGAATTGGAGGTTTAGAGGAATTTTTTTTTTTTTT